TTTAAGAACTAATTAAAACCGTTACCCAAACCGGTTTGTTATCTGAAACCAACCGGTATAACTGAAATTGAAATAATATTGATTGATGTGGAAATGGTGTTTTGGACCAACCTTGTGCCATCGGAGGGGATCAGGTCGCTTGAGAACGACGACAGAATCGATCTTTCCGGGCGAGTCGAGCCGCCATCGGCAGCTGGGAATCCTCCTTGTCTTGTCCAAGTTGTAGTATCCAATAACTTGGCGACGTCCTTTGTCATACTTAGCCGAGTTTACGTAAAACACAAACGGTCTCTGGCACGGATGCCTCGAGACCGGTCTTGTGTTAAACGCGTAACCAATGTAGTCGGCCTTGCGGAACCAGTTGAGGAATGTTCTCGAAGGCATCTCAAGCTCGCGAGGGGAAATGATGCCTCGGATAATCTGGACAGAAAATCCCCATGAGACCGAGATGGACCAGAACCGGCTCTGGTCGTAGCAGATGGACTGCTGGAATATGCTGGCTGAATCAAGTTCTGCTGAGGACATCAGGTGGCGGAGCGCACGTGATCTCTTCATCTTCGGGAATATCGGCTGCACCACGTCGATGTGGTGCAGCGACACTAGAGGAGCCACCGGGTGTGCACCTAGCAGCCCCAACAGGTCCCCATAAACATCATACTGCATACATAGTACCAAATTGTTCATGTTTTCAAATGATCCAATCCAAAACCACATAACCGATTTGAAACCGAACACAATCCTGATTTATTTGGAAATTTTGATTGTACAAACGGATTCGTACTATAAATGTTTATTTTGATTTAGTTCATAAATGAAAATTCCAAACCGAAGCCGTACCAAAATTCGGACTGAATACAAACTAAACTAAAAGAGACCAAATTAACTTACCTGGTGGAAGCCAGGTTCTTTGGTGAGAGGTACACCGAGCTCGGTCATACAAGCTTGGATGCGATCGTCACTGCCGTAGAGACCAGGGTACCGTTGGATGCAACGGTCTTGCATCCTCGAGAGCTCGAGAGCTAGAGCGTAGCTAATCGCAAAGCCACCGCCTCCAAATGCCATCGAGTATGAGAAGAAGATGTTCTGAACATGTGCTTCCGAGGAGCTACCAACATAATAGAACTGAGTATGGTCGTACTTTGACAGAACATTAACCACATTGTCCACCACAAACACTGTGTCGTCGTCTCCCATCACAAACCACCGTACTCCTTTTTTCCCTAGCCGTAGCATCTCGGTCACTACTCGCGATATCCTCACCGCGGATCTGTCCCCAACCGGATGCGTGTACCTAAAGTATACCAAAACAGAGTTGAAAAGCGGGTTTCTTGTCAAACACGTCAGAAAGTAATGTGGAAAATGTACCTGAAACGTGAGGTGTCTTGTGAGACTCTGATTTCGGGAAGTGGTTCGTTGCGGTAAGTACGGACTCTCTTATCGATCCAGACAACGCCACGTGTCTTACCAGGTCGCCACCATGATTTGATGTACTCTTTCCTCGTCTCCCACAGAACCGAAGAAGCTGCGATACCGAAAACGATGTGATCAAGGGTCGTGTTGAACATCCTTGGTCGTCGCGGGTAAAGAGAAGGGACACGTGGAGGGACATCATCGTCTTGTTCTACGTCCTCGGGATCTTTAACAACAGAGGAAGAGTTTGTTTGGTCGAGAAGTGACAGGTGGCGATAAGTGGTAGAAGGACGGCAAGATTTGCGTCCGCTTCCTCCTCCTCCGGTGATGGAGATGAGTAGCAAAGGAAGGAAGAAGAGGAAGATGAATAGCCATGGAAGAGGAGATCGGAGGAAAGAGACCCGAGAACTGTTGTTACTGTTGCTGTGAATTTGTGTTTGGTTTCTTGAGGTCAAAGACTTGAGTTTTTCGTGATGATAATCTTCCAGAAGTCTGTTTGAGCTCGAGGTGTTTCCCATGGCGAAAGGGAAGAGAGAAGAGAGAGACAGATACTAATTTGATATTTTCGTAAATCAGATTTTGTTACATCACTAGTTAAAAACGAAAACCAAGTTTTGGTGGAAATGAGCTAAATTTAGCGAAAAGAGAAAAGGTCTTCCGAATTTTACTGCATGAGCATGACCATGAATCAGTACTAAAACTGTAAATTATGTGTTCTCACATGAAACTAGATCTCAATACAATAATAAACCATAGAAATTTTGGATTTTTTGTTTCTTGGCAACAAAACTGGTGCAGGAAGCAACTAAGAGGAACCACTGGTGTTGTATCCATATCAGTGCCTCGTCTGCGAAAAAATGAACATTGTTAAAAACACAATAGAGACTGAGAACTAATTAGCAGAGAATACTTTGAGAGAGAAGAATGATTTATTTACCTTTCTTCTCTTGAAGTTTCCTCCCCTTTTACGGCCACCAAATCTTGCTGGCTGATCACCATCTTTATCCAAGAACTTGATTTCTTCGTAGAAATTCTCGGCTAGTCCATTTAACCTGATTCATGTAAAAACACGAGTGCATCAAACATCAAGATCAATACAAAACAGCAGACACTTCAGTTGCCAACCAAAGCAAAAGCATATACCCGCTTTGTGATTGCAGCCTCTTCTCTCTCTTCTTATCCTCCTTAGTGCGAGGTGCGCGTGTAAAGAGTTCTTCTTCTACCTTCTGTTGCCTTTCAGACTGTGCCATGTACTTCTTCTGTTCCCTGCTCTCAGCCCCAAAATATTCTCTGATCTGTTCATATTGAGTTCAAACATCAGATGTAAATCACTACTCATATCAACTGCAAGCTAATTTCTTTCCAACTCACCTCTTCAGGCCTGTCCTCGAGCTCGTCCAACACATCTTTCATGTATGAATCTTCAGTGGCTCGCCTTAAGAAGTGTTTCTCTTTTCTGGCGGCATCTCTTTCCTGTTTTGACGTCTTATCCTCCATAGACATAGGAGCGAATTTCGGGGGTCGATAAACATCTTCCTACATTTGCACAGGCTAAAGGTTAATGGAAAAGAACATACAGCATATTTCTTCAGAAGTGCAAGGGGATAGTAAGGTTTACCTCTAGCTGATGTTCAGTTTTGTCCGCAAGGAAGTATGGTTTTGGCTTATAATTGGAAAGATCTTCAGATTTCTGTGCTGCACCCAATTCCTTGCCCTCAGAATGAGCTTGTTCAGCCACAGAGCCACCGGCTGTAGTTAGCTTCTGAATTTGGTACTGAAGTTTTTTGTCTATGGGACGAATCTACCCAAAAAAAAGAGGCAAAGTATTACTCTTTGTCTTGTAGGCCAGTATTAAGTTGGAAAAAAATATAAAGATGCAAACCTTTTCCAGAAACAATCGTATCTCTACAAGGCTCCTTACAACAGGATGGCCATCGATAGAGAAACCTTTTGCTTTCCTTAGAAGATAATATACAATACACTGGCAATAACTTAGAAGTAACAGATGCTTGGCCTCGAGATAACTCATCCCATCCGCTGTCAGAAAACTGTCTGCTTTTACCTATGATTTGCAAAAATAAGAAAGTGAGGATGTCGTGAAACATGAATTACCCTGAAACCTATGGTGCTTCTGAATGGTAAGTGCAGCTTGCGGTTCACAGACAATAGTTTGGTTTAATCCTAAAGGGGGGGTAAACATTTTGATATTTAACATTAAAGCCATCAATATTTTTTAAACCAAACTGAAGCTACTTGTCAGAGACGAGACAAAAAAGATGCCAATAACGCAAAATCCGATAATAAGATGCTATAATAACAGACTTCCTACCTTTGCAGTCAGAGCCTCCACTTTGCTCCTAACACCATCTAGGCCTTCCTTCATTTCTCTCAACACCGACGCTAGCTGCGGAGCTTCCCTGAGACCATCACAATAACAAAACAAGGCCAGTAAAAAATGTGAGGTCATATCTAAACACACAAG